CGGAGTACACGTCCTGGTAATCCGTCTGGCCCTGCAACCTTGTGAATGTTGACCTGCTTAAAAGTCTTACTCACATCGTCTACGGAGAGCGTGATCACATAGTAATCCGGAACAGCTGATGCTCTCATGCATGCTTCAGTGTTGCTTGCCTCGAAGTGAGCATAGATGTGATTTAGCTCGTCTGGTAGGCTTGTGTCACTGGGCAGCTCGCAGCTGTGCTTCCCTTTGTAGTCTGTAATAGTTTTCAAGCCCTGCCACATCTGACGAGCGTCGGAGCCGGTGTAGTACGATTCAATCTTAGTCCTGTATTGACTCTTTGCCTGTTTGATGGTTCGTCGAAGGGCATAGCGGGATTTCTTATAAGCGTCTGGGTTAGAGTCCCACTCCTTGAAAGCCGCAGCTCTACCCTTTAGCTCAGTGCGGATGTTGCCTGTAATCCATGGCTTCTGGTTAGGGTGGGGACGACGTCATCGATGCACTTATTGATGAAGCCAGTGACTGATGTGGTGTACTCTTCAATGCTATCGGAAGAATCCCGGAACATATTCCAGTCTGTGCTAGCAAAACAGTCTTTTTAGCTTAGCATCTGCGTCATCTGACCACTTCCTTATTAACCGAGTCACTGGTGCTGTACACTGGACAACTCAGAGTATGCTATTCTGTTCTTCTGAAATAGACTACATTTTCTTCATATCATGTTTCTTTAGACCTTTCTCAAATAAATGTTGGATTTATTGTGATGGTGTTTGCTATATTACATGGATTTATTGTGGTGGTGTTGGCTATATTACATGGATTTATTGTGGTGGTGTTGGCTATATTACATGGATTTATTGTGGTGGTGTTGGCTATATTACATGGATTTATTGTGATGGTGTTGGCTATATTACATGGATTTATTATAATTTTTCAAATGTAGATGTTCCAAAGGTCTGCATCTGTGGCTTGTAGGCTATGCATGGAAGCCAGGAGATGCTAAATGTTAATGTTAATTAACAGTCAGTTACCGTGAGATCGGCAGTTATTTGCTTGACAATCACCAGCTGACACATTTTCATGACTGCCACAGCTCTAGCAATGGATAACAAATATTTCGTTAAATCACATTGTCTGATGTAACAATCTGTAGCTACCCCACCTCTTAGCTAGGGCCGGGACGATACCAGTATTGCGATACTCGTTAGTATCGTGGCAAAGAAACAAAACACAAAGCGGATTTAACTTCTTTGGGAAAACAGCCCTAATGTTGGAAACAAACATAATCTAAGCTATAGTACACTATTTTACATACAGCAGGTTTTTAAAGGACCGAATAGTTTGATCTGCTTCGTCTTTTCATTTTTGCCATGGAAAAAGTATTGCGATACTGGTATTGTCACAGCCCTACGCTTAAGTAGTTCTAACTTTACACTGGAACCGTCTTGCTTTTATCAAAGTGATGAGCTACACCATTTCCTATTAGCTATAGCTAGTTAGCTTGCTAGTTAACTAGCTAGATTGAGATTCACACATTTATGTTGCATTTGCAGCTAGCTAGCTACACTACATGGCCACAAGTATGTGGACACCCTTAATTAGTGGATTCGGCTATTTCAGCTACACCCGTTGCTGACAGGTGTATAAAATCGAGCACACAGCCATGCAATCTCCATAGACAAACATTGGCAGTAGAATGGCCCGTACTGAAGAGCTCAGTGACTTTCAACGTGGCACCGTCAGAGGATGCCACCTTTCCAACAAGTCAGTTCGTCATATTTCTGCCCTGCTAGAGCTGCCCCGGTCAACTGTATGTGCTGTTATTGTCAAGTGGAAAGATCACTATGCGCAATGCCAAGCGTCGGCTGGAGTGGTGTAAAGCTCGCCGCCATTGGACTCTGGAGCAGTGGAAACGTGTTCTCTGGAGTGATGAATTACGATTCACCATCTGGCAGTCAGACGGACAAATCTGGGTTTGGCGGCTGACAGGAGAACGCTACCTGCCCCAATGCCTAGTGCCAACTTAAAGTTTGGTGGAGGAGGAATAATGGTCTGGGGCTGTTTTTCATGGTTCGGGCTAGGCCCCTTAGTTCCAGTGAAGGGAAATCTTAACCCTACAGCATACAATGACATTCTAGACGATTCTGTGCTTCCAACTTTGTGGCAACAGTTTGGGGAAGGCTCTTTCCTGTTTCAGTATGACAATGCCCCTGTGCACAAAGGGAGGTCCATACAGAAATGGTTTGTCGACATCTGTGTGGAAGAACTTGACTGGCCTGCACAGAGCCCTGACCTCAACCCCATCGAACACCTTTGGGATGAATTGGAACACCGACTACGAGCCAGGCCTAATCGCCCAACATCAGTGCCCAACCTCACTAATGCTCTTGTGGCTGAATGGAAGCAAGTCCACGCAGCAATATTCCAACATCTAGTGGAAAGCCTTCCCAGAAGAGTGGAGGCTGTTATAGCAGCAAAGGGGTTACTAACACCATGATTTTGGAATGAGATGTTCGACGAGCAGGTGTCCACATACTTTTGTAAATAGCAAGGGTGGCTATTATTGTCTTTTGAGAATTATGATTTGATGCATGAAATGCCATTCAGGAGAACTCCCATGTGCAATAAAAGCAATCAATTAACCACATTCCCATCTGGTGTCCCCTTTGTATGCATTTAAGATTGTCAAAAATAATTGTTATCCATAGATAAAATAATTGAAGCTTATGTCTCTCAATTTAGAGAACTCTGACATGTTTAAAGTAGCAAAGGTTTTAAAATCTGAAAAACTTTCTCTCACTCAGAAGTCTGAAAGAAGCCAGGAGTGATTTGGCTGTCTGATGACTGATAAGCAAAATCGGCTTTTATGCAGTCAATTGCACCTCAATTTTGAACAGAAATCTGTGTAAACACAGATAACCTTATGTTGCCCTTTCATTGGCACATTCTGAATGGGTTTCTTTTGTAGTCCTAACAATTGTCTGGTTTTCTTATCATTCAGGCCTTTTTCAAGTTTAGTGAGGATTCTGAGACCATGTTGATGGTGATGAGTAGATGATTCGGCCTAATGTACGCCCACTGTTTGACTAAATCTGTCTCACTCCCAACTCCCTCAAAGTGCAGACCTAAGATTATTTACATAAAGTGAACTGCAATTTACATATTTATTGTCTTTTTCCTATCTTTGTGGGGATTCTCTGGAGTAGCCTAACTCCTTTGGCTCCCACCACAGCCTCCACACCTGCCAACAGACGTCAGTGTGTGTCCTGTGAACTGCTAGCCCTCCCTCACCAGATGTATTGGGGAGTTGTCGCTTCCAGCCTTGTACACGGTAGGTTATGACCTTAAAGTGCGTGTTTTTGCTGGAAAATGAGCTTTAGTGCAGATATTAGGCTATATGCTGCCTTGGAATGTTCAACTCACATAGCGTTAGTAATAAGAAGGAAAGAAAGTTGCCTAGCTACAGGTTTTCAGTCGAGTTAATTGTTGTCTATTGTGTTATCTGGATCTGAACCCTCAATGACTTGTAAGATATCAACAGGCTAGTGTTCTCACTGCCGGTGTGCAGTGGGCATGGTGGATGTGCCAACATCCTGTCAACATGGAAACACTCTCTATATCAGCTGTGCTTTGCAGGAATTCTAAGATTGGGATTGACCATGTGAAGTTCTAAAGGCATTTATTTGCTTAAGTGCTACTCCAGATGTGTTATCTCTTATCAGTAAGTTAGAGGCTACTAAAGGCTGTGGCCACATCAGATATAAATGAAATGCCTTTTTGAAACGTTTGTGGCAGACTCTTTGTTTACCATTCTTACTGCGTCTGTGGGTTCTAAGTATGCTTCTAGAATGGAGCTGATATCAGAATCAAACACAAGTTGCCTTTCTTGGTCTGGTCATTCTCTTACTCTAATCTCTGTTCTGTTTTCTATATGCACAACATTTTCACAGAGGGGGTGTATTGCAATGGCCTGAGGATTGACCTTTGTAACATCCCTCATACCGCCCATCTTTCCATTGTAGGCTTGTGGTGCTGCTGTCCTTGCATAGTGGGTTTGGATTGTTTCTCTGCACATAAAACACAATGATTTTCTCATGGAGTATCTTTTGCCATTGCCTGGTGGTTATTCCTATTTGACATAAGACATGTTGATTTATTGGTGGAAAAGATGCATGTTAAACACGTTGTTTCCAACGTGGTCCCCAATGGAATAAGCACAATACAGACAAAAGTAAAATGGGTTTCGTGGGGATAATATTCTGGGGGAGAAGTGTCTCTCCTGGCAGGTGCTTCACATTTCCATGGCTGGCTCCAAGACAGAACAGGAAATGTGAATTGGATAGTTTTGTAATATCAAGTCATAAATACTTGACTGTTTTATGAGTTTCATAATGTTGTGCTAATTTTACAAGCCCTACTTATCACTGTGCCAAGCTGATGGAGGTGGCGACTCCTCACCCCACACGGCCTGCTCCTAAGCATGCTAATGAGATGAAGCTATTTGTGGCACTGTGGCTATTACCCACCAACTCCATAGAGACTGAGCTGTCTGACAATTACCGTCAGCTCACTGTCACTCACTCAAGTGTTAAAGATGTAGGAACAAATCTCTGGGTTATCTTGGCTCTTCTCTATTTGTTTCCTTCTTTTGAAAAGGGAACATGGCCTCGTCATGTCAGCTGATGTCCCTGGGTAGTGGGTGGGATGGAGAGATTATTATTTTGGTAGAGGGAGAGGAGTTTCAGTTCCTGAAATATGTGTTGTCAAAGGGGATACCACTAGCAGACAGTTATGTTTAGGCTGAGCTATGTATGAGTAGTTAGATAATGGGAAAGCCAAGAGGAATGAACCACTACACAATGTTACGTCTAGATCTGATGAAAGCTGAAAGACATTATTGGGTTCTCATCTGTGGCTGGCAATGTGTTCAATTATATAAATAGTGACGTAAGTAGGCCTAACCAATGCTCTCTCTTGTCTCTCCTCTTGCAGACGTTTGTGCTGTCTAGTGAAGTAACCCCACCATGCGTGAATACAAACTAGTGGTGTTAGGCTCCGGAGGTGTCGGCAAATCGGCACTGGTGAGTAGTGCCTTGCCTAGGTTTCTATTGAGGCCTCCTGGGCATAAGTGATTTGAGTGGGCATTTGATTTGAGAATTTATGTCACTATATATTTATGCTCTTCTCTCCTTGCTTATTCTCTTCCAGACAGTCCAATTTGTACAAGGTATTTTTGTGGAAAAATATGACCCCACAATAGAAGACTCCTACAGAAAGGTATGCTGCCCTAAAGTTACTAAGAGCTCCATTGCCACCACTCAGGTGTCAACATTTTACTAAACGTTACTCCCTCTCTCCCACAGCAAGTTGAAGTGGACGGGCAGCAATGCATGCTTGAAATCCTTGACACAGCTGGAACAGTAAGTAGAACATGTCCACGTTAGCCATGGTAACAGATTGTATGATGGCAGTAAACGTTAGCCATGGTAACAGATTGTATGATGGCAGTAAATATGACCAGTATGTCATGGAGTCTTTCGTCTGCTGTTTTACAGGAGCAGTTCACAGCAATGAGGGACCTGTACATGAAGAACGGTCAAGGCTTCGCTCTTGTATACTCCATCACGGCACAGTCCACGTTTAACGATCTACAGGACCTGAGGGAACAGATCCTGAGAGTAAAGGACACTGAGGATGTGAGTATTGTAGCTATTCAGGGCTCAGTCACTGTTGTTGACACTGATGTGAGTATTGTACCTTATTAGGGCTTTCACTGACACTGAGGATGTGAGTATTGTAGCTATTCAGGGCTCAGTCACTGTTGTTGACACTGATGTGAGTATTGTACCTTATTAGGGCTTTCACTGACACTGAGGATGTGAGTATTGTAGCTATTCAGGGCTCAGTCACTGTTGTTGACACTGAGGATGTGAGTATTGTAGCTAATCAGGGCTTCCATCACTTAGGCCTTGTTTTCAATGCATTTATTACAGCTGTTACGATCACTATGATACGTTTATGATTTGTATGCAGTTATGTTCTACAGTGCCTTCAGAAAGTATTCACACCCCTTGACTTTTTCCCCACATTTTGTTGTTACAGCCTGAATTTAAAATGGATTCAATTGAGATTGTGTCACTGGCCTACACACAATACCCCTTATTGTCAAAGTGGAATTATGTTTTTAGAAATGTTTACAAATTTAATTAAAAATTAAAAAGCTGAAATGTCTTGAGTCAATAAGTATTCAATCCCTTTTTATGAAAAGCCTAAATAAGTTCAGGAGTAAAATGTAGCTTAACAAGTCACACAATAAGTTGCATGGACTCACTGTGTGCAATAAGTGTTTAACATGATTTTTGAATGACTACCCCATCTCTGTACCCCACACAATACAATTATCTGTAAGGTCCCTTAGTCGTGCAGTGAATTTCATACACGGATTCAACCACAAAGACATGGGAGGTTTTCCAATGCCTCGCAAAGAAGGGCACCTATTGGTAGATGGGTACAAATAAAGAAAGCAGACATGGAAATCCCTTTGAGCATGGTGAAGTTATTAATTACACTTTGGATGGTGTATCAATACACCCAGTCACTACAAAGATACAGGCGTCCTTCCTAATTCAGTTGCCGGAGAGGAAGGAAACCGCTCAGGGATTTCACCGAGGTCAATGGTGACTTTAAAACAGTTAGATTTTAATGGCTGAGAGAGGAGAGAACTGAGGATGGATCAACATTGTAGTTACCCCACAATACTAACCTAAATTACATAGTGAAAAGGAAGCCTGTACAGAATAAAAAATATTCCAAAACATGCATCCTGTTGAAATAAGGCACTAAAGTAAAACTGCAAAAAATGTGGCAACGAAAGCGTTATGTTTTGGGCAAATTCAACACATCACTGAGTACCACTCTTCATATTTTCAAGCATGGCGGTGGCTGCATCATGTTATGGGTATGCTTGTCATCAGCAAGGACTAGGGAGTTTTTTAGGATATAAAGAAATGGAATCGAGCTAAGCACAGGCAAAATCCTAGAGGAAAACCTGGTTGTCTGCTTTCCAACAGACATTGGGGGAGCATGGCAGAGAAGATGGTGGCTTTGAGATCGAAATGTCATGGTTGATGTTTGCCAGTTTCAGCCATGCTCTTATTTCTGCCCCATGCAGAGTTTGTGCATGATTGATTGATTGTCACATTATGGAGACTGTAATGTCCTATATTTTTGTTTTGAAAAGAAACTGAGTAAAGAACCATCTCAAAGCCTTCCCTCTATTTCTCCCTATTCTGTATCAGGTCCCCATGATCCTGGTAGGCAACAAGTGTGACCTGGAGGATGAGCGTGTGGTGGGCAAAGAGCAGGGTCAGAACCTGGCCAGACAGTGGAACAACTGTGCCTTTCTAGAGTCCTCAGCTAAATCAAAGATCAACGTTAATGAGGTAAGCCCCACTGCTTTCACTTCCAGTCACCTGAACTGAATTAATGTGTTTTATATCTCGGAGTTGAAAGGAATTGCAACAATAAATAAAATGTTGTCAAGGAAACAAGTGTGATTATCTGGAGGCTATGACAGAGTTAGTTAATGTATCTCTAACTACCGGCTCCTTTGCGCCTCTTTAGATTTTCTATGACCTGGTCAGACAGATCAATAGGAAAACGCCGATAGAAAAGAAGAAAGCAAAGAAGAAGTCAAATTGCACACTGCTCTAAAGTTCTCACTTGCAGCAGCTCTGAGTCAGGTGAGATCCAAGGGGTGATATGGAACCTATGTTTAATGGTTTTTACGGAGTCTAATTTTATCATAATCCCATGAGTATGTACTTGCATTGATATTTTTGCTTTCTATCATAATAACCTGTCTCACATTCTTTACTGTCACGCATTACATGTGCAATTGCTCTCACATGGAATGTACACTCCCCTACGTATTCATTTGGACAGTGAAGCTGAAACCTTTAATTAGTCTCTATACACCAGAATTTTGGATTTGAGGTCAAATGTTTTATTAGGCGACAGTACAGAATGTCACCTTTTTATTTGAGGGTATTTTCATATCTGTTTTGCAGTTAAGAATGTATGTTTCTAGTGCCGCCATTTGAAAGTGTCATAAGTAGTTGTACAAATTCACTTAGTGTATTACATTTAGTAAAACGTATATATGGTCCCATATTCCTAGCACGCAATGACTACATCAAGTTTCTGACTCATGTTTTTGGGGGTTATGATATTTATGCCTATAATTTTCTCTCATTATTCACAATTCATTCATGATTATCCGTAATCATGGTAGCAATGCATCCACATTAATGTATAAGTGTTCAGAAACATTATTCTTATTTACAATAAGTGACTCAAGATGACAATACATTATTTACCATTAATTTCTATTGGGCACAACATAATCTGAAACGCAACCAAAACAAACTGCAAATGCATCCAACAAGTTTGTAAAGTCACAAGCTTGATTTAGTTATTACGTGTTAGGAATATGGGACCAAATACTAAACTTTAGACTACATTTAATACACTATAAGTGAATATCATGACGAAAAACGCTAACCTGCAAATAAAAGGTGACAGTCGCCATATATAAAACATTTTCTCAAATCCAAAATGCTGGAGTATAGAGCCAAAATTCAAAGTTTTAGCTTCACTGTCCAAATAAATATGTACGGGTGTAAATAAAAGTACCTCTGGACTACCATGTCCTTGTGTCTCTTATCTGCAGGAAGCTGCAATACAAGACTGTTGCCCAGTTGGAACGTGCCAGCATTCCAAGATCTTTCAACAACGTTTGGAGAAGTTTGACAAAGGCAGACAAGTAATTCTCTACTTCACCACTCTAATAATGGAGGATTATTCTTCTTGGATACTCTTCTCTGCTTTTTAATGGTTATAAAATCCAGACCTTTTTCTCTTTTTTTTTTTTCATGGGACAGCCTTGTGATGAAGAGTTTTGCCTTTCCCCTGTTTTGGAAATTACAATTTAAAACAAGAGACCACCATGCGGATTTGGGGAATTAAGTTGTTTTGATTGCAAATATTGTCAGATCTTTGGCACATTTCAAATGACCAAATGTTTGCAAAGTACATCATGGGAAATGTGGGCCCTTTTCATTACCATACCCTTCTGCACTAATTGTGTCTACAGTAATGCATCAATGTCCATATGTTTTCTCCTACTACTTTTAAGGACTTGTATTCATCAAATAACATATTTCCTAAGTGACTTTGTTTTATATGGGAAGCTGTAAGGCTTTCATATTTCCCATAATATATTCTAATTACTGTTTTGCATACTGAAGCTGTGGAAAATGTATATTTTATAGAATGGGGGAAATGAAGAGACGTGATTTGTGTGTCTTGAGGCTGAAAATATATTGTACTAAAAACCAACTCTAATATTGCTTCTTGTGTTAGTTACCCTGTCAAATGATTTTCCAGCTTTTATGAATGATTAAATTTTAGTACATTTTCATTATCTTTTGTCAATGCCTTTTTTTTTATATACATGATAGTAATTAATAGTTGTGAATAAATCAAAAGGTAAATCAGAGATGAACATGCTCTCTCAATAAAAAATACCCACACTGAGGCCTGTTTCACACAACACAATTCCAATTCACACCTGTACAGTTTAAACCAGTGTTTCCTAAACTCAGTCCTGGGGACCCCAAGGGGTGCACATTTTGTTTTTTGCCCTAGCACTACACAGCTGATTCAAATAACTCATTAAGCTTTGATTATTTGAATCAGCCAGCTGTGTAGTGCTAGGGCAAAAACCAAAACGTGCACCCTTTTGGGTCCCCAGGACTGAGTTTGCGAAACACTGGTTTAAACTGTACAGGTGTGAAATGGAATTGTGTTTTTCAGTGTTGTAGACTCCAGTCTCGAGACCATTTTTACTCGGTCTTGGACAATGAGGACTTGTAATTTCTTCAGAGAGCAGACGAGACCCATGGACCTGATTTATAACCATTATAAATATCTGCATGGGTCATTTCTGAAAAGACTGCGCACGCACAAAAAATATTGAGATTCATAAACTTGGCGCAAGCTGTACATACGCATGTTTCCCGTTATAAATCAGACCTGTTATTAAACTGTGCATGAATTAGCATTATAACCACCTGAAAAACACCCATCATTCACCTTTTATGGAGACCAACAGTGGAGGTGTCATAATACCCATAAAACCTAGCATTCAAACGAAAATGGTTCCAATCGTTTTTCCACCATACATTTTTCCCATAGGGGATTTTAGAAACACTTAAAATAAGGGCTGTGTTACGTGATATCTTACCTTGGCGTGACGTTTTGATAACCATGTAAATCTCTCGGACAAGGTGACTTTTATCAATATATTTGGCTCTATTTACTCTGATTAGAAAATGTTTATTAGCTTCAACGTGGACATCATGCAAAACTACAGATCCCTGCAAGCTCCTGCACGTCATCTAGCTGACACCTTTGCTAACAGGTATTGTGTCAATTTAAAACGTGCACAAGACAGTTCCAGAATTGTCAATTGAAAGAAATATAGCCAATTTATTAATTACTACATTTAGCTAACATTGGATAGTTAATCCAGAGATTCTTATCTTTGCCACGATTTGGCAGTCTCCTCCAGATCATCATGGCATTTGTAGTTCTTTATGATAGCCACATTAGCAGCTAATTAGCATTTCATTTTGGGTGGGGGTAAATACAGGTGAATGTATTGATAAAAAGGCACCTTGTCCTAGGCACCTTGGTTATCAAAACGTCACGCCAGGGTAGCCTACATGAGAAACAGACCTTATTTTAAGTGTTTCTAAAATCCCCTATGGGAAAATGAATGATGGAAAAACGATCGGAACCATTTACCTGTTTGACCGCTAGGTTTTACAGGTATTATGACTCATACTGTGGTATATAATGCCCTTTGTTGTATACTTTGGAAGTATTGTAATTAGGCTGAGAAGTCTAAAGGAAATAGTCATGGCAAACTTGATCAAATGTCTTTGGAGGTGGCAGAATGTTTGCTTTTGCAGTAACATTTGCTGTATCTGACTGTCTCTGAAACACACTAAAAAAATTCAAATTGTTTTGGACCTGTAAACAGATTTGCATTCCATAATGTTTTGCATTTACTTTTTCCCAAACCTAAATATGCTGCACAGCCCGCGAATTGAATTTTTTTTAAACTACTATTTGCAGTGGTAGCCTACACATTTCATTGCAAAATATCAACTGTCTGTTCACCTGTCAATTTCTACTATAGGCCTGTGTTATAAACCGCTCTCCCTTTCGGATGCATAGAGCAAAAACAAATTATAATAGCTTATCTAATAGGCCCAATTAACTGAGATGCGCATTGTAATTTGTTGTATGGCTACTTCGTGAATATGAACTCATCATAGCCAGAAAAGGTGAGGAATTTATTTTGCAATGGTTATGTATATTTATTATGTATTATGTTTAAATTAAATACTGTCTACTCGAGAAATGTGACATTACAGTATTCAGACAGCCTACAAAGTCAATGAAAAAGGTGAACCGTCTGTTCTACCGTTGAACTGCACTTCCGATCGCATTGAGCAAAATACTTGAAATAGCTTATCTATTTACTACTGTGAAGTGGGTCCAATTAAATGAGAGATGGAAGGAATGGTCGCCTATCCTAACTAGTTTTTTAGGCATATAAGCTATTTTGCGAGTATGAAACCATCACAGTCAGAAAAGGGGAGGAATTTCTGCAATGATCATGGAAATGAAATAAATAATAGGAAATAGATGCCTTTTATTTTCACCTTTATTTAACCAGGTAAGCCAGTTGAGAACAGGTTCTCATTTACAACTGCGACCTGGCCAAGATAAAGCAAAGCAGTGTGATAAAAACAACACAGAGTTACATATGGGGTAAAAAAACAAAGTCAAAAATACAACAGAAAATATATATACAGTATGTGCAAATGTAGCAAGTTATGGAGGTAAGGCAATAAATAGGCTATAGTGCAAAATAATTACAATAGTATTAACACTGGAATGCTAGATGTGCAAGAGATTATGTGCAAATAGAGATACTGGGGTGCAAAAGAGCAAAATAAATAACAATATAAGGATGAGGTAGTTGGGTGGGCTAATTTCAGATGGGCTGTGTACAGGTGCAGTGATCGGTAAGGTCCTCTGACAACTGATGCTTAAAGTTAGTGAGGGAGATAAGAGTCTCCAGCTTCAGAGATTTTTGCAATTCGTTCCAGTCATTGGCAGCAGAGAACTGGAAGGAATGGCGGCCAAAGGAGGTGTTGGCTTTGGGAATGACCAGTGAGATATACCTGCTGGAGCGCAGACTACGGGTGGGTGCTGCTATGGTGACCAATGAGCTAAGATAAGGCGGGGATTTGCCTAGCAGTGATTTATAGATGGCCTGGAGCCAGTGGGTTTGACGACGAACATGTAGTGAGGACCAGCCAACAGAGCGTACAGGTCACAGTGGTGGGTAGTGTATGGGGCTTTGGAGACAAAACGGATGGCACTGTGATAGACTACATCCAATTTGCTGAGTAGAGTGTTGGAGGCTATTTTGTAAATGACATCGCCGAAGTCAAGGATCGGTAGGATAGTCAGTTTTACGAGGGCATGTTTGGCAGCATGAGTGAAGGAGGCTTTGTTGCGAAATAGGAAGCCGATTCTAGATTTAACTTTGGATTGGAGATTCTTTATGTGAGTCTGGAAGGAGAGTTTACAGTCTAACCAGACACCTAGGTATTTGTAGTTGTCCACATACTCTAGGTCAGACCCGTCGAGAGTGGTGATTCTAGTCGGGTGGGCGGGTGCCAGCAGCGTTCGATTGAAAAGCATGCATTTAGTTTTACTAGTGTTTAAGAGCAGTTGGAGGCTACTGAAGGAGTGTTGTATGGCATTGAAGCTCGTTTGGAGGTTTGTTAACACAGTGTCCAATGAAGGGCCAGATGTATACAAAATGGTGTCGTCTGCGTAGAGGTGGATCTGAGAGTCACCAGCAGCAAGAGCGACATCATTGATATACACGGAGAAAAGTGTCGGCCCAAGAATTGAACCCTGTGGCACCCCCATAGAGACTGCCATAGGTCCAGACAACAGGCCCTCCGATTTGACACACTGAACTCTATCTGAGAAGTAGTTGGTGAACCAGGCGAGGCAGTCATTTGAGAAACCAAGGCTATTTAGTCTGCCAATAAGAATGCGGTGGTTGACAGAGTCGAAAGCCTTGGCCAGGTCGATGAAGACGGCTGCACAGTACTGTCTATTATCAATCGCGGTTATAATATCGTTTAGGACCTTGAGCGTGGCTGAAGTGCACCCATGACCAGCTCGGAAACCGGATTGCATAGCGGAGAAGGTACGGTGGTATTCGAAATGGTCGGTGATCTGTTTGTTAACTTGGCTTTCAAATACTTTCGAAAGGCAGGGCAGGATGGATATAGGTCTGTAGCAGTTTGGATCTAGAGTGTCACCCCCTTTGAAGAGGGGGATGACCGCGGCAGCTTTCCAATCTCTGGGGATCTCAGACGTTATGAAAGAGAGGTTGAACAGACTAGTAATAGGGGTTGCGACAATTTCGGCGGCTAGTTTTAGAAAGAAAGGGTCCAGATTGTCTAGCCCAGCTGATTTGTAGGGGTCCAGATTTTGCAGCGCTTTCAAAACATCAGCTGTCTGAATTTGTGTGAAGGAGAAGCGGGGGGGGGCATGGGCAAGTTGCAGCGGAGGGTGCAGAGTTGGTGGCCGGGGTAGTGGTAGCCAGATGGAAAGCATGGCCAGCTGTAGCAAAATGCTTGTTGAAATTCTCGATTATTGTAGATTTATCGGTGGTGATAGTGTTTCCTAGCCTCAGTGCAGTGGGCAACTGGGAGGAAGTGCTCTTATTCTCCATGGACTTTACAGTGTCCCAAAACTTTTTGGAGTTAG